TTTGCAATACATTAAAAATTCTGCAAAGCATTATAAAGTTAGTACGATATATATTTGTCAACGCTTTTTTTTTTTATGAGACAGATTTTATATATATATTTTTTTTAATATCTCTGAGGGAAGGTTACATTAGCAAAATTCAATCATTTTTATATATAGATACTGTATATCAAAACTGACAATTGATAAATTTTCAGCCATTCCCTAAATAAAAAAAATTGTATTTTTAAATATCTGTTATGTAAAATCATGCACAATTATATCACAAGCAGATAAAATTCTATTTTGTATCAAAATGTCAACGTATAAGATTGCAACAATGTGGATTTAGGTAGCACATCAGGAAGTACTCTCAATTCACCCCAAGGCAATATCAAAAACTAGTGAAGGATGGGCTCAATGTATTCTTTCAATGGCCTCTACAAGGTTGCCTCTGAACTAAAGAATATCTTGCCCTCAGTTTTCTTTCCTTTATCATCTATAACACATCCTACCTTTGGGCAATAGTTGACAACCAGCAACATAACATAGCATTTAAATCCTTTCAAGTATTTCTACGTTACACAAGAGAATTTAATCATTTATTTCTCCATAATTTAAATAATATATTAATTTTAACCTATCTATTTTGAACGTGATCCATTGTAAATGACACGAAACATGGCTAAATGATATAAAAAAAAAATTTTTTTGTGCGCGCTTAAATGACATTCTCACGGTTAAGACGAGCAAGTTTAGGGGGTGAAAAAACTGCCGAATAATCCCTTAATACGCTTAAATTTCAAACTGTACAAAAGAATTAAGTCATTTATAATGTATATTAAGGAGAAAGCGTATAATTAATGTCATTTTGAACCGGTATGGTGGACGAAAACCCCTGCAAAGAAGTGGACTCACCTTCAATGCAGACGACGTGTTCTCGTATTTGTTGAGCTAACAGCGGATCTGGTATTAATTCCAATAGATCATATATTGCATATATACTAGGATGAACACTCTCAAAACGTTGTATCTCTTGACGAATAGCTAAAGAATTACTATAATACGGTTGTTGTACGTGACACTTGTTACTCATGTCGACCAAATTCTAAGGGCAAATCATCTCCGAACAAAAACAAGACATCGCTAGACCGAATCTTTCAATGTCTGAAACAGGAATGAACGGAGCATGCGCTAGGGCGTATGACGAATCTTATCAATATACGCATGCGCGTAAAAAACAAACGATTTTTTTCCCCTTTGTTTTTTTTTTTATTTTATATTTTTAAATCATTTTTTTTAAATTCGATTACGAAAACTTAAATGTTTTTAATGTCTTATATATGTATACATTAAAAAATTTAATGATCGAATTATAATTTAATTAGTCTATCGTTAGAGAAAAATAATTATTAAATCACGTAATACGGACTAAAGACCGAACGCCATTACTATAATTATAACATGTAATTTACGAAAGAAAATGACTAAATTTATTCGGAAAAATATAGAATTCATATACAGTTTTTAAATTATATTTTATTTTTGTTTATTTATTTTTTTAAACAAAAATTAAATGAAATGTCGGCAATTTAAATAATTCGAAACGAAATTAAAATAGTTGCATTTCACTTTTTTTTAAGTTTTTAAATATTTTATTAGTAGTATTATTATTATTATTTAACATTGCTGAAATATAATTTAAATTGTTTCTTTAAAATATATTCATGTCAAAATTCAATTTATTCTATTTCCTCCGCCCCCCCATTCTGGTCGAAGATGACGCAATAGATTTATTTACTCGCAATATATTTTTTAGAAAAATTGTTTAAAATATAAAAGAAAAAATATATATATTTTTGTTGTTTTTAATAAATAAATAAATTTAATTTTAAAATATTATTTCATGTACTAAAAAATGACTATAACTTCTTAAATCTCATATATTATATATGTAATATTCTTACTTTAAAAATAAATAAACAGTTTTAAAGTTAAAAAATAATATTATAAAATAAAGAAAAAGATTTTTCAATG